CGGCGCGAGCGGAGGACGCGGCCACAGACTACAACATCTTGCTGTCTCCGGCTCGCGTGACAAACGCGGACGACCTTCTCTGGCTGGTGCACAACCACCTTGGCGCAACATACGCAGCCTGCAAGGTTGGCCTCGACGCGCACGCAATCGCGATGCGCGTGATAGTGCAGAAGCTTGGCCTGCTCGAGATCGCGCCCGCTTCGCTGTGCACGGAAGTGGCGCGCGAGGCGTGGCTCGCATCGCTGCAGCACATCCTTGATCAGGTGAGCCGGCCGACTGTGGCCGCTAGTGTGTGAGCAGAGAGTGATTATCGCGCACGCAATCGCGGCGGCCCTCGTGGTCGTCACGAGGGTGGGAGACGGGAGAGCTCGGGAGGCAGCGCCCCCGCTGCCCGTGCAGCAGCGCGCGCCAGCAGCGCGCGCCGCAGCGGAGAGGGAGGCGGACGCCGCCGCCGCCTCCGCGCCGTACTGGCCCGCGAGCTGGCCGCGCAGGGACCAGCCGACCGCGGCCGCGAGCACCGACTGCGCCCGAGCTCCCGGCAGCGCGGCCCGCCCACCGCCCACCGCGTGCACCCACCTTTAGTGTTGCCGATCCGGGCGGGTGTCGGCCGCAGTGCTTTGGCCCTCTTGTCACGTTGCATGCTCGGAAAGCTAAGGCGGTACGTTCTACGCTGAAGCCGTATCCGCAATGATATATCCCCGGGGATAGCGGATAGAGTACCCTCAATCAGTAGGGGGTTTGGGTAATTAAGGTGCATCGGGGTCGGCGGGCGTGAACTGGGAGTGATACCCGCTTCGGCCGTTTAGTTGCGAACTCCCTTTCCCCTCGACGGCCTTCTGTCTTGCCCCGGCTGGGTGTGTGTCTCTGCCGTTCCTTTCGTCCGGCTGTTCGTACCTGTTCGTGCGTCAGAGGTGTGGGTGTGTTTTGGCCAGTGCCGTTCCTGCGTCCGGCTCTGGGAACCTGTTCGACTGTTCGTGCGAGAGGTGAGTGGATGTGTGTGGGATTTCTGCCGTTGAGCTGTGCCGTTCCTGTGTCCGGCTATTCGTGCCTTCCGTTTTCGGACATCGGGCAGGACCAGGAGATCGTGGCTCGCGCGAGAGCAGAGGGGCGGGAGACGTGGATCTCGCGTGGTTTCTGATTTCGATTTTGGTCACTTTTCTTTTTTCTCCGTTGGGCTCAGACCCCAAAAGGCAACCCACTGATGCTGGGGAGGGTGACGCAGTGTAGTACGCAGATCCTCACATGCGGATGGGGGAGAGGATGCCCCCGTTGCGACGGTGTATCATTCACTTTATGCCACCGTTGCATATCCGGATATGCAACGGTGGCATAAAGTGAATGATACGG